TTTCCCTAAAAAAGTTTAACTCCCTGGTTGGGTAGTTGGGGGCTCTGACAACTGAGTGAGCCTTCCTATTGATTTTTCCTCTGCCCCTGAGTAAGTTGTTAGGGTTATGAGGGCACTGAGGAGAAAGGATCCAACTAGGTAGGCCAAAGATACTGTGTCCTTTGACAGTGAAATTTGCCTTCTTGGAGATCATTTCTTCCAAACCCACCTCTCGGCCAGGAGCCTCTGCGATATGGAGGCTTTAAGGAGGGCCATGTGTACTGAGCATGGTTCTGTGCATCCAGAAGTCCTAAGTTTGATACTGGTCACATGAATGGTTAGAAAATTTTAGGGGAAAGTCCCTGAATGCAGAGAATTTAGTCTCAACTCTTCCTAAGGTAGTCTTAAGAGCAGAATTTTGGGGAAACGTCTTTCTTCATTTGGCCTGTAATTTGTGCTTGGAAAGGCAAGTTCCATTGTTGGCAGACCCAGGCCTGCCAGTGGTCTGCCTATTCTGGGTGTGCAGTTTCGGTCCCAGTGTTTTCTGTCACTACCTGTGAACTTTATTACATCTATAAGTTTTAGAGCCAGGGAAGACTGGGGACCTGTCCTGGCTCTGCCTCATCATAGCCCTTGTCTTTGTTTTAACAACCAAAAAAAAAACCCTTACCCCCTGTCTCCTTTCTTTCTTTCTTTTTAAGCATAATGAACATCTTTTTTCTTTTTTTTTTTTTTTTTCACTGTGTCACATGACTTGCAGGATCCTAGTTCCCCGACCAGGGATTGAACCTGGGCCATGGCTGTGAAAGCACCGAGTCCCAACCACTGGACCACCAGGGAATTCCCTGTGTCATTTCTTTTTATGATTTGAATTTTATTTTAGTTATTATTTTTTTTTTTATGTAGCAGGTCTGTGTCTCATTTCTTTATCATTAAATGGAGTTGATAATAATAGCTAACATGTATCACTGTGTGCATCATAATATCCTAAGCAGTTAATAAAAACTATCTCATTTGGTCCTCTCTACCTTTTTCTTTTTTAATTGAAATAAAATTCACATAACGTAAAATTTACCATTTTAATCATTTTAAAATGCATAGTTCAGTGGTTATTAGAATATTCACAGTGCTGTATGAGCATTATCACTATTTAATTCCAGAAAATTTCCATTACCCCAAAAGAATCTCATACGTGTTAGTAGTCACTCCCAATTCCCCTCTCTCCCACTAAGCTACTTTCTGTTTCTATGAATTTCCCTATTCTGGACATTTCATATAAATGGAATCATATTATATGTGCCTTTTGCGATTGGTTTATTTGACTTTGCATAATGTTTTCAAGGTTCATGCATGTTATAGTACATATCAGTACTTCATATAGTGATAGGAAACAATATTACTTCCCAAAGCAGCCCATTTCATTTAAGACAGCTCCAAGTATTAGAAGTTTTCCCTCCTTTTGAATGTCACTCTAGTAGCTTATACTGATTCTATTTTGGACTTCTGAAGGGATTCATATCATGTATTTGAAGATTTTTTTTTTTTAATTTATTTATTTTTGGCTGCATTGGGTCTTTGTTGCTGCATGTGGGCTTTTTCTAGTGGCCGCCAGAGGGGGCTACTCTCTGTTGCGGTGCGCGGGCTTCTCACTGCGGTGGCTTCTTGTTGTGGAGCACAGGCTCTAGGCACTCGAGCTTCAGTAGTTGTGGCACAAGGGCTCAGTAGTTGTGGCTCGTGAGCTCTAGAGTGCAGGCTCAGTAGTTGTGCACAGGCTTAGTTGCTTCACAGCATGTGGGATCTTCCCGGACCAGGGCTCAAACCCGTGTCCTCTGCATCAGCAGGCGGATTCTTAACCACTGCGCCACCAGGGAAGTCCCTGAAGATCATTTTCATTCATGTTTCTTTCCCAGCTCTAAAAGTTATTTGTTAGACTTGCTAGATCTGATTTTCAAGAAAAAGTAGAAATTTGGATTTTATATACTGCCAGTTGTTTAATGTTTGCTTAGATTTGTGTCAGTCCCTGTAAAACATGCTGCAAGCCAAATTCTGCCCATCACCTGCCAGTTGCAGCTTCTGGTTAGCTTCTGTTAATACAGGTTAAAAGGCATATTAGGATTATTGAGATATAATTTATATACCAAACTATTCACTCATTTAAAGTGTACAGTTTGGTGGTTTTTAGTATATACAAGAGTTGTACAGTCATCAACACAATCAATTTTAGAACGTCTTTCTCACCCCAAAAAAGAAATCCTGTGCCCATTAAGCCATTTCCCCACAATCAGCTTATCCTTTCTAGCTCTAAGCAACCATTAATCCATGTTCTGTCTCTATCACCTTGTCTATTCTGGACACTTCATAAAGTGGAATTATACAACATATAATCTTTAATGA